TTCTTATCCTGCAGATGTTCTTTATGTAGCTTTATTAGGCCCGTGCAGTTTTATCATCTGCAATGTTTTTGCTGTTCTGGTGTTCATTCATCTGATGAAGAAGTCTTAAACTTGAGGAAAAATGTTCATTCTTATTTGCTACAAGACTGATTAAAACATGATAATAAAAGAGCAGTTCAGGAGTTTCGCCTTATTAATTGAACCTAATAAATAAAACTGTGCATGTTGTCTCACTGGTGAAACAAGAATCTACAGGAACAAAGAGACAAACATCTGTAGCAGAAGTGAAGCTTAATTTTTTTATCAGTTACATCATTTCTGGTTGGAATAAAATAAGCCTAGAATCAGGACTTCATCTATGATCAACGCCGGGTTTAAAATTTTAGTTCAAGTGTTTATTAAGTATGAATAAATCTAATCCATTACTCGATGTACTTTATAACACTCCTAACAGTTTGGTTATTGATGACACCTCTAATGACACTCTGTATGTCAGGACCAAGTGGAGAAAGTTTACCAGAAGCAGGCGTCCATGCAGGAGATGTTTGACAAGAGGATGGTCAGTCTCAAGAAACTAGCAGCCAAACAAATGAGACCAGTGCAGCCGGTCGCTCCAAGACCTGAAGCCTTCATCAAGTCACCGCTCAGCTCACCTGGTTCGTGTCACACAAATGGACTTCATTTAACACAATGTTCAGGCTTTTAGACTTTTCTTTCTTTGCTCGACTGGCTAATCAACCACAAACACAAAAAATGGCTACAACTCAGTTTTACAAGCTAGGATTAGAGGTGTTAGTTGCTGATTCATTCCAAACACACACTCCTGAGTGCTAACAGATGATGCAATATCTTTGTTTAAACTTTGACATGCAATACAGTGAGTGATGTGCACTCTTTCAAGAAAGGCTACATTCATCTGCAGTGGTTTTAGATAAACATTTATTTATGTTTTAGTCAAAATCTGCTATTGTTATTGACTAAAATGGCATCAAAAAGCACAATTCTTCATCTTCATACTTGCACAAGATAAAAATGCAAATAGCAAATCACTGAAGATTTAATCCCAAGCAGTCTTTCAGTCCAATAAAATTATTAAAAAGTGTTATTTCAAAACAAGTTTTAGCAGATTTAGTAAAAGTACACATTTCTTAAAGGATTTATTTGTGTGAAAGGTTGTGAGGAAGTTATAAAGAGAACATACCAAATCTTTTCCAAAACACAATAGAAAAAAACATGTATTCATAATGTGTTTATTCATATTACTAGGAAATAATTTTCTACGTCTTCAATATATTATTTATAAGAATTTAAACAAACCAAAATTTTGACATTAAGTACATTCAGTAACAGGAAAAGGAGTACATTTTCTGTATGTTTTACTTCATCTTTCCTTTTATTTAAACCTGATATAGAAATTATAGAAACACAATTTTGTTATAAGTCTCTTTGATGTCCTCTCAAAGTCTTCTATTGTCTGGTTCTTGCTTTTATAAAATGTCACTCATTTTAGGTGTTGTTCAGATATGTCAAGCACAAATCTTTTGTGTCTTTAAAGCCATGCTGCTGTCAGAATTAGGTCTGATTTTGTTCTGCTGAGAAACAATCCGCATGTGAAGTAATGTCCTTTAAAAGTACTGCAAACATCCCTTGAACAAGTAAAATAAAAATCTGAGCATTGCTGTCACTTCACACAGTTTCCTCCAGTGCTGCAAGTAGTCTTACACCTCCACATCACAACAAACACCGGGTTTGGCAATTTCTTGTGTATAAGAATGTTTTAAATTTTCTTTATGTTTAATTACATAAAAATGATCGTTTCTTCTCCCTCAGCACACAAGACTCAGCAGGAGAAAAACGGCTTCTGTGAAAAAGTGAGTATTGTGATATTTTTGCTGGGTTTTGTTTGTGAATTATCGAAGTGATCCAATTTATTTATCTTTTTTTTTCCTCGTGGAAATGGCAGAATGAAGACGGTAACAGCAGACATGCATCTCTGTCAGAGGAGGAGGAGAACCTGGCTGTGCTCAGGCGGTGAGAGAGCAGCAGCAGCTCTTTTATAGACTCAGAGTTCACAGCAGATGGGTTTGTTAATATTTCAATTGATTTGTTGTGTCTGCAGCCACGTCATGAACGAGCTGCTGGAAACTGAGAGAGCCTACGTGGAGGAGCTTCTCTGTGTCTTACAGGTGTTTATTCAACCCACAGACGAGTTCCCGGTATTGGTTTTATTTCTTCATGTTTTTATTTTGTCGTCAGGGATATGCTTCTGAGATGGATAACCCCGCGATGACTCACCTGATTCCTACAAATCTGCAAAATAAAAAGGAGGTTCTGTTTGGAAACATGCCAGAAATTTACCACTTTCATAAAAGGTAAAAGAGGGACACATGACTGCCACTAAAAAATGATCCTAGTCATAATACATACATAATAATGTATCTCCCTTTCTTCAATTAGCCCATCAACTTTGTGTTTTTTTTTCCCAGAACATTTTTGAGGGAGTTGGAGCAGTACACAGACTGTCCAGAGTTGGTTGGAAGATGCTTTCTGGAGAGGGTGAGTTTTTCGTCAGGTTTACAGACAACAAGGAGCTGCTTTCTTTAAAAATAAAATATTTATATATATATATGTATATATATTTTTTGTGAACGACATAGATGACAGACCTGCAGATCTATGAGAAGTACTGTCACAACAAACCTCGCTCTGAGAGCCTCTGGAGGCAGTGCTCAGATTGCGCCTTCTTCCAAGTCAGTAATCTTCCCTCGAATCAACAAAACGTTAGTAAATTCTTTCAACGTCAGCTTTTATTGAACACTTTTTTTGTTCTTAATTCTTCAGGAGTGTCAGAGAAAGCTGGAACATAAGCTGGGTTTAGATTCATACCTGTTGAAGCCAGTTCAAAGGATTACCAAATATCAGCTGTTGCTAAAGGTGTGAATCCACACGACAGACTCCTCAGAGTTTAAAGTGTGTTTTTCTGTGACTGAGATTCTTTTTCTTACGACAGGAGATGCTTAAGTACAGTAAGACCTGCGATGGGGCTGACGACCTGCAGGAGGCGTTGGCGTCTATCTTGGGAATCCTTAAGGCTGTCAATGATTCCATGCACCTCATCGCTATCACTGGATATGAGGTGAGAGATCAAAAAAGGCTTAAAGTTTTTCTACTTGGAAAAATCAACAAAACATTAAATTTACTTTGTTTCAGATGAATACAAACAGGCCGGGCTGGTTTTACATTTATATATTTTTTATTTTATAATATTGTAATATTCAATTTGCTCTGACTTTTGCAAAAAAGAAAAAAGCACTATGTCTAAATATAAAGTAAGAATATCTGTTTCAAAGAAGTCATTGCTGCACCAGGAAGTACAGCATCTCAAGGGTATCTGTTCATTAAGACCCAAAAAGATTGGTGCAATAAAGAAAATAATTTTGAACTGTGATTTTTTTTTTTTTTTTTTTTTGTTTTTTTCTTCTTTATCAGATCTGATGGAACTAAAAGTGTAAGTTGATAGTTGTTGAAAAAACACCTCATATTATAGTGTCACTGAGGTCCAGAGAAATGTTGGAAGATTAAAATCATCTCAAAGGATTAATCTAAATTTGCACTTCTTAGTCTGTGAAAATGGAGTGACCAATTAAAAAAGTAGCAGTAATTTCAAAATTACTGATGTAATGTTTCTGTCAACCTTCTTAATTGAAATTTAAACTTGTTTTTTTAAATTTTAGATCCATTATGCCAGTTTTTCCATTATGAGCTGACGCTGGTACACACAAAAACTTCAAAAATAAGCTTTTCATCCACAGCTTTAGGACATGGGTTATTTTTCAAGTCTTATATTTCTCTTGTGCATTCTCAGGGCAATCTGAGTGAACTGGGTAAGCTCCTCATGCAAGGGTCGTTCAGCGTTTGGACAGAACACAAGAAAGGTCACGCCAAAGTGAAGGACCTGGCTCGTTTCAAGCCCATGCAGAGACACCTCTTCCTGCACGAGAAGGCTCTGCTCTTCTGCAAGAGGCGGGAGGAGAACGGCGAGGGCTACGAGAAAGCTCCTTCATACAGCTTCAAACAGTCTCTGAGTGTGAGCACCAGAACTGATGTGATCTCACTTTTGTCCTCAATCTTTATTTTAATTAACTAGTTTATATTTCTTGCTACCATTTTGGGAACAGATGGATGCAGTGGGTATCACTGAGAATGCAAAAGGAGACAACAAAAAATTTGAAATTTGGTGTAACTCCAGGGAGGAGGTCTATATTGTTCAGGTATATTAAACACATACATTAATACTTACTCACTACATATATATACTACACTAGTTTAAAAAATTGAGCTCTTGAAAATGAGTTTATGTATGCTTCATTCCAGGCACCAACAGCTGAAGTGAAAACCACCTGGGTTAATGAGATTAGGAAGGTTCTGACGACCCAGCTGGAGGCTTGCAGAGGTACAGAGAAAATAAAAAACTTTAAAGTCAGTGTTTACATTAATACAGAACCCGCCAAGGGTCAGCGGGTGAAAAATAGAAAGAGCCGATGGAAATCCGTGCACACAAATTGCAGAAACTGAGAGCACAGTTTAGTAATCCATGCACATGGATTTCCATCGGCTGTTTTTTTTTTGTCTCCCGCTGACCTTTGGTGGGCTCTTTACATTAACATTAGCCTTTGTACACAAAAATGAGCTCTTCTACTGTCCAGTGCTGGTCCTCGCGGGCTGCTATGATAGTGGCCCTCGAGAACCAGGATTGAACATAGAATACAGCAGGGCTATTCAACTGGTGGCCCGCGGGAGTGACCAAAATTTGGCCCGCCAATTGGTTCATTCTTCTTTTAAGGTCAAACCCCCAGTTTTCTACTTTAATTACTTTAAGTTCTTTTAGTTAGACATTGACTTGTTTGGTATCTACAGAACCGTCAGAATCTTGGCTACAAGCTGGTAAAAACCATTTCTAAGCACACTAAAGACAGTTAAAATTACAAGCAGTTGAATACAAAACTATGAAAGTGAAAATAAAATTGGTTTAAAATTTTGGCAAGTCAGAGATGTCAAAATGTTATTTGTGTCAAATCGGGGGTATAATGTGTTCTTTTTGTTTTTGATATTGTTTATCACTACTTTTATAGGGTTCAGTATGTTGTAATCACGATTAAATGCAGCAAAATTAACTATTAAGGTAACAGATCTTTGTAATACTTGGTTTATTTACATAATAAATTTAATTGCTGGATGTCCAGCCCCTGAGCTGTTGACCTGCAGTAACTGTGGCCCCCGGAGCAGTTTAGTTGAATAGCCCTCCAATACAGTATTGCTGCAAGAGTGGCAGGATGACAGCTGCAATGTTTTCCAGAAGCCAGCCAGCAGAGGGCACCAGACCAGGTGTTTCAGTTCCCCCCTGTACCCAGTGGAACAGTAAGTCTCAGGTAAACAGTATTCCCACCTCATTTATCCTTTCTCTGTTTGAATGAGAAGTCTGAGAATTGATGTTTTGCTCACCCTGGAGTTGTTGAATCAGCTTCTTCTGTGCATCCACAGTCCATTCAAGACGAGTCAGAAGAGTTTTAAAACGGGAGAAGAGAAGAAAGCTGATCCTCTTAGCTCTGATATCAACTCTTCATCTTCACCAAAGCTCTCAGAAAAAGGTGAGCACAGAAACTGAAACAGAGGAGCTTGTTTGGGAACTTTCAAGTAAATTAGCTCGTCACATTATCACTTGTCACGTATCTTCTGTTTCCCCTCTTTCAGTGATTGACATGTGTCTTAACTTTTTTGTTCTTCCCTCTTTATTGACTTTATCCTCTTATTCAACTTGTTTCCCTCCTTCTGTATGTCCGTCCATCTTGTTTATCCTCTGGGTCAGATGAGGCTGTGACAAGCCCAACCTCAGACAGAGCTGCTGTCACTAAAAAGCGCTTTACTTTACAGGGCTTCAGTAACCTCAAAGCTCAGAAAGGTAACTGCAGCCCACTGCCATTTTTTTAAACAGCACATCATTGTATCAAAAAGTTTTTTTTTTTATTAAAATCATTTAAAACATCTGCTTTGTTGCTATAAGCACTTAATGTACTCTTATCTGTGTGATGACACCTCCCTCAACATGTGACCCTGATTATTTTATGAACTAAGTAAACAAGATAGGAAACATATTTTTACAACTACATCATTAAAGACATAATTGTGTCCACAGAACCTTCAACCTGTGATGACAAAAGTTACACTTTACCCATGATAACTTTCCCATCATCAGGTATTGCGCAGCTCTAGACCCCAGTTTATCTCAGCCTCAGGTGTGATGCCTTTTTCACAGGAGGTATTCTGTCCTGATAAAAGAAGCAGTTTCATATTATTTTTGTTTTAAATAAGCCAGTGAATCATTATCACTTTATATGCTCTGACTGCTTTTTGTCTAATAACTTCTGTGAAAAAGCTTTGTGTTTTTCACATAGAAAATCCTTCTCTACTGCAACACAGTTGCTTTTTTGCAGAAGCTCATCTTAAAGCAATAATTCAAAATTTCTGAAAGGGGGTTCTGTGGAGAAGATCTGAACACCTAATATCTTACCTGTCGTGGTATTTCTTTGAATGACCCCAGTTTGAAGGTGAAATAATATCTTACAAAATGTAAGACAAATCTTTCCACAGAACCCACCTTAAAAAGATCTGAATTACTCATTAAAGTTGTCTTCTTCCTCTGTCTGTTGTCTTTCCTCAACCTGCCTGTTTGCTGTATTTAGACTCGCCTGATGTTGAGCTGTTTGCACTGCTATATTTTCATTAATATTTTATAGCAACTCTTTCTTGCTTTAATGTCTATGTTTTTCTTTTCTGGCTTGACGATAGGATCTCCCACCAGCCCAGATCACAAATCGAAACGTCAGAGTGATCCTACACCATTTGGCTTCAAAGGTAGCCTGTTTAGTAGCTCATCTCAGCTATTAATGAATAATAGGTATGGGGTGTGAAACTCAGGGCCCATCTCTGTCAATATTTATTGAAAAACTATTATATAACAAATTTTTCTTATAGAAACACAAATGACTATTTCCAAATTGTATTTTATGTATCATTTAGAATATACAGTCTGTGTGTGTGTGTGTGTGTGTGTGTGTGTGTGTGTGTGTGTGT